GGTAGACAGCACTTTGCGCAAGAAAGTAAAAAATATTTTACCAGTTCAGATGGTAAATAGTCTGCTCAAAATACCTTCTGTAGTTTCAGTGGAAGAACTTACCCTATATTTTTTTCCTTGAAAAGATCCTTGCTGTTGGTACACTGAGGCTTTCTCTCAGGGCTGTTACACTAAGCTGCCTTGCAGTTTTGCTTCTCTTTATGTTGGTTCTGAACACAGTATGCGTTTACAAAAATTGCATTACTCTTCGATCTAGAATGAACTTTAGTTAACAATTCCCAGTATAAAACCAATTACAAAATGCTTTGTTAGGCAAGGAATATGTTCTGCTTTTCTATTTTGCCTATATTTTATCATGGTTTTCCTTAAAATCTGTGTATATGCTCCATACATCCTTTCAGTTCCCCAAAATGTCACTGAGGCTTTAACAGAGAACAATTGTATAGTTGCAGGACACGTAATAGGCTACTAGAAGAAATATTTACATCTGGCATGATCAAAGCTTTTGGAGTATATGAATGTGTATGTGGGAGGTCTAATTTTTAAGTGGGTGGATTCACAAAGACTGAAACACTGCAGTACTTAACCCTTTTCCCTTTAGGAAAATTCAATTCCTAAAAATGAAAAAAGCATGTATTACCTGATTCTTATCTTTATTTTTCATTTCAATGAATAGAATTAATTCTTCTGCCTGTAACTACTTGTTTTAAGTCATAGAGAATTTTTTGTATTTTAGCCCCTGTAGTTGCCTATTTAGTAAGATGCTTATCTCGCTTGTGATGTTTTTGCACATTGGATCATATGCATGTTTCAGAATTTTAAAAAATTATGTTTTTAACACATTTGATAATCTATAGAACCGTTGTGGAAGGAGCTCTACTGTATTTTCAGTGTTCCGCAATAGAGATGTCTCCAGGTTCGATTTCTGCTATTTAGTTCCTGTGTCAATAATCAGCTGTGAGCCGCTTCTGTAAATCTGTCATTTGACTTTTTTTTTATTCAGTTACTTTAAATAGTTAGTTATATTATGAAAGTCTATTAATACTCAGTCATTTAAATAATCTCTTTTAGCATTTTGTTTGCAAGGCTCTGATGGGGAAGTTTGGGATGAGAGCTGACCTGGGCTAACAGCTTGCTGAACGGGGAGGTCTCGCTCTCCCTTTGGCTTCTTTCCTTCCCCGTGCTGTCCTGTGATCTTCCCTCCCCCAGCTATACCAATTCTGACTACAGGGCAACCAGCTCAGCTTGCCAGCCAAGCAGGAGAACCCACACGCCATGTTGCGTGCCAAATGCCTGTTCGGCTATTCTGAGCTTAATTTACTCGGTGATCAGCAGAGTGCCTGAGCTGGCTACCAGGTAAGCATCAGGGACCCATGGCCTGAGGGGGCTGCGGTGAACGGAGAGCGACCTGCCCTTTTTGCCCCTGGTGAACTTCCATTTTGCTCAGACCACTCTCTGAAGTCATACCATGAGTCACGAACACAGCATCGTGTGTAATATGTGGTTTCTTGAAAATCAGCCTTGCTTTTGCAGGCCAATGATGATGTGAGGAGCAGTTCTTGTAAGCAGTTAAAACATCAGTGAAGACATATTTATTTTTAGAAGAGACACACCTTTTTGGGTACCTTAAAGGATTCTGTATTTGGTTACAGCATCCATGGCTGTTACTTTTAGAGCTGGGGGTCATCAAAGCAATAGAACATTTTCCCCTGTGAAAGTGTTTTTTACCTCTTAAATCCTGGGTATATATATACATAACTTTGCTTGCTGTTATTCATTTGTATTACTTCAGCACTCCAAGATATGCTACATCTCTTTTGTTGTCCATGTGGCATTGGTAGTCCACAATCTAATCTTGAACTATTCTAGCATCAAATTTGAGTGAACTGGTTTGTCATTATGTTCTGTAAGTAACAGCAGCTAAGAAAGCAATTCAGAAACTCTGGAGCCATTCCTGACACTCTGCAGTAGTGGTATGGGATGGGCAGGTGCAAGTGAATATTCTTCATCTGCCAGACTTGGATCTGTTTTTGACTCTGTGTCAACACCTGAAGTACCAGGACACTGCTATGCTGGCTTCTGTAGCACAAAGCCAAGGGTATGCAGGCTCTTACCCAAATTTTTGAACCCTAAGTTTAGCATTATCAAAGTGATGTTGCTTTGTTTTTTTCTGGTCTCAATGTCAGAACTGACACATGAATTTGGTTGATCAGTTAAATGGTGTCTGCAGTTCACAGAAGGGTGGTTGGCATCTTTTGGGTCAGTACTGTGTTCAGTCTTCATGTTTTTCCTGTGTGCTATGCTGCCTTTACATGTTTTTCCTGTATTTTTTTCTCTTTTCTTCTTTGAAGAAAGAAACCAACAACAGCAACAAAAAAAAAAGACTTGCCATTTCCTCTGTTGCAACTTGCAGGATTCTCTAAAGACTGCCATAATCTGTGACCACAAAACTGCCTTTTCCTCTGTGTCATGCTGTTGAAAAACTGCTAGCAAGCAAGTTCAGTCTAAGCAGGACCTCAGCATTACTTGTTTTGCTACCTCTTGGTAGTTTTCAGCATGTTCATGTAATGACAGAATTAGAGGCCCAAGTCTATTTCTTGGTGCGTTTCTCAGTAGTCCAGCATTCTCATTCACAAAGAGAGCATCACTGTATTTATACTTAAGGAGTCTAAATCTTAAAAAGGAAGAGAAGGCCCCAGAAAATAGCAGTTGTATCTATAATCGGTCCTCCAAAGCAACAGTGAACTCAGTAGTGGGAAATACCATTTTTGGCTGTTAGCTCCCAGCATCCCTGAATTTGCTAAATATTCAAATATAAATGAAGTGACACAAGCAAGAGATCTTAAATAAATACTGACAATTGTAGGCATTCATCCATAAAACTCTGAAGGATCATCAGAACTCAAAAGAGCTGGGTTTAAAGTGTTGCATTTTGTAAGCGTTCATAACCAAGATGTTTGTTTCAGGCTGAGAACACCAGACTCCATTTTAATCTCTGTTCTTCCAGCTCTGAGGATGGCTAGTATTTCTGATGTCTCTACTGCACTTGAATGAAACTGTTTTCTACCTGAGCCTAAGCAAATCAAAACAGAGAGGACAACCATCGTGCCCATTCTTTAGAGTATCAGACTGGTACCAAATGGGGCACAGCAATAGAGAAAGCAAGGATTAAAAAAAAAAAACCAAACAACAACAACAACAAAAACAAACAAACAAAACCAAACCAAACCAACCAACCAAACAAACAAAAAAACCCAAAGAAATTCCTGGAAGGAAATGTCAGCAAAAATAATACCTAAAAAATCCATTGCCTGTAATAAATGTTGCACTCCACCATTGCAAGCTCTCCCTCACGTACAAGGCTCAGGGATATCCTGATACAGTGATAATTCCTGACATGAAGAAAGCAGATCTGAACATTTGATTTTACTGTCTAGCAGAGACAAACTGTATATGTAACATTATTAGTGTCACGAAGAGATTGACTGCCTGCCTTCCTGTTGCTTGTTCAAGGAGATTTCCATTTACCCTCATCTAACTCCAGGATAAAGAAGGGACCATCTGTTCTTTCTCCTTCATTCCCTTCCTTATTATGGTCCTTTGTCCTCATGGTCTCAAATACTAATTCATCCTCCCCAATGTCCTCGGTACATTGCTTGGTCTGTCAAATAACACATACCCATCTTTCCATCGGTCTGTTTTGCCCTTAGATGTTTCCTGCGTTTCCATATTTGTTGGCATGCGTGTTTGCCAAATCCTGGTGTCTTACTGTGAGTTTCTTGTCTGTGCCAGCGTAGTCCAGAAAACCTGTGGCTGGCCTGAGGCCTCGGGACAGGTTACAGAACAGAGGTCTGTGCTGCAGCTCTGAAAGTAGGTTGTGAGGGACAGGTCTCAGCTGCACTGTTGTGCCTCTTTTATGTCAGTAGTTGTTTTGCTTCATGAGAAATGCTGAAGTACGGACAGACACAAAAAGTAAGGTCTGCTTTCCATGTCTATATGGATTTTTACCAAATAGTTCTGACTCTGCTGTCTTAACTGCTTGCAAATTACATCCTTCAAGAATGGCATGTCCTTATGATACCATTATTTAGAAGACAGACCATTCAGGGAACATTTTTTCATTTGCTGGTGACTATGGACAAGGATGAATGTTGCCCAAATCCTTTTTACAGTAATAGGGATTTTACAGGGACTTGTTCATTAGCTCTTCCTCTTCCAGTGCTCTTCCCTCATCCCCTTAAAAAAAAAAAAAAATTGCATTAATGTTACGAGTGGTGAAACTCCTACCTGTGAACACAGTTGTTGGAGTTCTCCTGCAAATGGGACTTCTGGCATTTTTATATCCTCTGTTATTGAGGGCAACCTTAGGACCGACACAGTCAAAACAGCATCTGCCCAAATGAGAGCAGTGAGGAAGTTTAAGGAAGAAATACACTGTGGATGATGGCTTTGTGTACAGTTCTGGCATGATGCCAAAAACGGTATAAATATAGCTCTGTGATGATATTGTAAATAGTGTCTGCCTTTCCCTTCTCAAACGTCTTTTCTAAGCCTGTCTTTGTTCCTGATCTCTCTTACATGTGCGTGTATATATGTCTGTCTTATATATAAGAGATTGCACACCAAATAATTATTCATTTTATATCCCAGCCCTTTAAAAACATATCATGTGTTGTAGGTTTTGAGTTCCAGTGAAAACAGCAAATCAGATCTAAGGCATAGCTGTAGTTTTGCAAAAATAGTCACCATGTAATAGGATCAGGACTGTCTCTTGAGACATTTGTAACAGACATATTTTATATTTAAACCCAAATTAATAAATGTCACTACGTGGGGAGGGAAAAAAATGAAGCATCGGCATTTTCAATTGCTTCATGTATAATTTTGGAATTGAGGAAAGGCCCCAAGTGGCACAGAAGTAAACATTCATCTAACTTACTTGCTGTATAATTCGTCATTCTACATGTGTTTGTATAAATTCAGCATCTGTTTTCAAGAAATCATTTTTGTGCTGATTTTATTTGAAAATGTTTGTGGTCTTGCTCTGTATTCTTACACATATTTTCTCTCAACAGAGTTTGCACTTAGGATAGTGAACGCTCCAATGGCCTTAGATTTAGCATTTGGCATACTGTGTGAGCTGCTCCAGTGGTGGGGGGAGATCCATGCTGGTGTGCTGATCCTGCTGGAATGGCTGCTGGGAGACAGCGACCTGAAAAGAGATTCGGAGACTTCAGCCCTGGTAATTTTAACAACTAGTTGCTATATCATGTTGGAAGCACTGCATTTCTGCAGTCTTGTGGTAGGAATGGAATGTAACATCTCATTTGATGAAGCCTGATGATCACTACTGCAGTATTAACTGATTTACAATTTAAAAAAAAATGCACATGGATGATATTTAGAATAAAAATAGAGTTTGATACCTGTTTCCTGGCAATATCAGCATAAAATTAAAGAGATCAATAAGCAAACATTGAAATAAACCAAGAGTTACTTCACAAGTCATTGTTGACTGAAATATTTTGAGGCCGAAATGTAATTACATTCAGTATTATTGCAGATGATGGCTTGCCTTGAATTTAATCTGCTGCTGTGGGTGCCAGGCACATCTGGTGTTCAAGAGAAGTGCTCTCCCAGCTGCTGGCTTTTCCAGAGTTGGCATTTAAATATTTGGTAACTTTATGCCATCTTACGTATGATTGGTTCTGCACAGCACATGAAACAGCCTTGCTTACATCAGTTACTGTCTTCAGAAGGATTATTTCTGTAAAGAAAACCTTTGCCACGCTGGTTCTGTAAAGCGTAATACTATATAATACGCTGTGCTCTTTTTGTCTTGAAAAGACTGTAAAAATCAAAATAATGCTGGAAGGTAAACCGGAAGGAGCAGGACCAGCTACATCTTTGAGAAGTTTCTTGACAATTAATATGACCCATGAAATATATTATGGACCTTTTCTTAAGCCTGTGGTTTAGGTATGCCTTTCTAAGTTTCACTGACTGATACAATTTTCCTTTTTCATTTAATCCACTCAAAAAGCACCATGATATAGCAAATTACCATACTGGTTACAGAGAGGTCTCTGTGAAATATAAGACTGTTTCAAGCACATGTTAAGGATTAGGACTACTATTTACTTCCACTGTTTCCCAAGACTTGTACCATAACTGCCTGATTTTTGAAGGTAAAATTTCTTTGACAAAGTAGTTCCCAAACCTTTAAAAAATGCATGTGAATTTTTACCTTCTTTTTAATATAAAGAAGCGGTTCTGTGACACCTGTTTCTGTATATATTCTCTTTTGTATCTTTTATGATTTTCTCATTATTATGAAACTACAAGTCATTTCCTAATCACTGCTGGTTTTCTTTTTGTTAAGGAAGAAGATGATTATCTGTTTGATAAAGGAGAAGTGAATTTTTGGGCAGAGAAGTTGACTCATGTTAGACAACTGAGTAAGCACCTTTTACAGCTCATATCAATGACTCATCTAACATTACCACAGCACGGAGAACTGAAGCGACTATCAATAACAGCACTGGACCAAGCCCAGCTTGTTGAACACCACCTTCGAGCACTGCCTCCAGCTCCAGAATTTTCCAAAACTGCAGAATTCACAAGATTGGCTATTCAAAAGGAGAGAATTTTGCTCTGTCTTAAAATACTGAATCTGCTGAAGTCTGATGATACTTGCAAAAATGAAAATCTGGAAAAGTATGTTACTAACAGTTCATCCTCAGGGAACATGGACACATTCTCTCAGGGTGACTGAATTCCAGCGATGTTCAAGGAATCAGGATGACTCCAGTAAATCTGCAACAAACTATTTGGTATTCAGGCTAAAACTACATTTTTATATATGAGTCCATGGATTCATTTTTTTTACCAGATGTGCTGTGGGAGACTGTTCCTTTTAAATGCATTTGCTAATTTCATTCAGCTGAGCATTGTTTATTACAGCCACTGTAGGAAGTAAAGCAGGTAAACCTAATATTTTCCATTCATCCAGGTGCAGGCCACCTGTAGATCTGTTACATTTTATCCTATATTTTACCTCCTGTATCTTAGTACCAAGAAAAAGTGTATTATTTTGGTCTCCTTACAAAATGTAGCATGTTAATTATTAAATTAATATGCTATTTTTATTTTTAAGTGTTTCTAAAAGAAAAGGAACAAACTGTGACTTCTTTGTTCATGGCAATTTTTAGAGTATATTTCAAATTTTACTGTATTTTCCTCTGGAGGAAGGCAAGGATTTTCACTTTGGTAGTAACTTTGTTTTGCACATGGAAACAGCATTAGTTAGACTTCTGGATGCCTCTTTTTTCCTTTAAATCAAATAATTACGTTCATAAAATGGTTCTAAAATGAAGACTGCTGTGTTCAAAACAAAGCAGCTGCTCCATTGCGAACAAAACAGTTTCATCTTTACTTCACAACACCTTGTTCTGCAAGTGGGCCTGGAAAGGAAGGTCCTGCTGAGTAGTGTGAGGCCCCTCTGAAGCTACCAGAGGTGTTTCTGTGCTCTAGCCCTTGCTTTTGAGAGATGCTCTCACCGGCACTCAGGTGGGGTGGCTGTGGGGACTGTTCTGAGTGCTTCATGGTGATGCTGTGTCTGAAACACAAACATGCTTGTTGTGCATCGAAGTGTATTTTTCTGGGAACTGAAACTGGGTTTCAGTATGAAAACGAGACATCGAAAATAAATATTGATCTGAAAAGGTTGCGTTACCTTCCTGTAGCCAAGGGCTGTGACAGGCTGTAGCACGGCCGGGCTCCCCACAATATGGATATGCGTCCCTGTACGCCGTCATTTCGGTCTCCTAGGAAGAAGAACATGTCCAGTGAACGACTGTTTCCTTTCAGCCTCCTCACCTAATTGTGTGTGAGCAGAGTTTGGCCGTAAATGTCGATGACAGGCAGGTAAGGGGTGAGCGTTGCGGCTCAAGGCCCGCAGGTGGCGCCGCGGCACCGCCGTACGCGGGACGGGCCCGTTCCCTGAGAGCCGGGCCGGGCTCAGCCTGGGCAGGGTCGGGTTCCCTTAGTGCCGGCGTCGGGCTCAGCCCGGGTAGGCTAAGGTAAGGCTTGGGCCGGCGCCGCTCGCAGTGGCTGCGTGCTGCGGTGCCCGATAGCCGATTGCTGCCCTCTCCTTGAGTTTAAATAGAATCTGCTGTAAATCGAGCTAAGCTGCTGACTTGGATCTAGTGGACATCTGAACACTGCACAAAACAAAGTCACTACTGAAAAAAAGATAAGTAGTGGCTGTAAGTTTCCAGGATTTGGGGTTACTTATATAAGTAATTTATGATGAAACTTGAGGCTTCAATAGGCAAAAGGGAAATGTTGGAATCTGAAATGATGTTTCACAGAATGCCCGCTACCCAGCTTAATGAGCCACGGTGCAAGTTAGGGTAAAAATTAATTTGTTTGCATCTGGTTTGAGCTCCTGGGGAAGGAACAGCCCAGATTATGTCTGGAAGCCACTCTTAAAAAATAGTCAAGACCTGTACGATTAATTAACAGCTAGCTGCTGGTTTTGCCACATTTTTCCATAATTTCTGTGTGGCAACAGCTTTTAATAGTAAGAGACAAAACCAACTTTGTATGTATCAGTTGTGTAACCTCACTCATGTCAGTGGGTAGCACAAGACTATCTAGTAACATTGGCTTTTTAATTTTTTTTAACGGGGTAGAATTAAAAATGCATATACATATATATTTAATACTGGCAAATGAGTAAATGCAGAGAGGTAACAGCATAGTAGTAGACCCAGAGTGACCATAAAACTTAAGTAATTTGGTGAAGCCTTGAGGACTTGGTTAATCAGTAACCAAACAGCTCAAAAACTTGGTCTTCCTTATCATGCTGTTAAGATGCAACTGGAACCTCTGTCATCCCGCCTCCGTTTATAGAGAGCAAATAAGAATTATATCAGCGTGCATACATTTCACCACAGGGTGCTAGTGGCTTGCGTTACTGTGTAACTACTCAATGAAGAACCTTTAAACCCTGTGCAGCGATTGCAGGAGAGGGTTAGCAGAGCCTGATGCCAGAGCACTTATCGGCCGTGTATTTGATCAAAGTCAGTTAATCAAAGTATTCCTCCCAGTGGCGATGACCCATTGATCCGTGCATGACTGTCATCGTAAACTGTACTCTCGGTTGGCTGGCGGGCAGGATCTGCACCGAGGTGATGTTTCCCTGGCAGAGATGTGTGGGAGAGTCAGTGCGCAGGCAACTCCCACCAGCCCAGGAGGAGGTTATGGGAAGAGATGCACGTTATCCCGCGCGTCCGCGACATTCCCGCGCCCCGGAGGCTCCCCGGTTGCGAGGCAGGGCCTGATGCCGGGTCGGGAGCCGTCGCCCCCCGGCAGGGCGGGAGGAGGGGAAGAGGCAGGAACGTGGGATCTGTCCCGGCACTCTTGGGCGGAGGAGCCGCTGCCGGCGGGCCCGGCGGCCGCTAGGGGGCACCATGAGCCCGCCAGCCGCGAGGGCAGCGGGAGGGGCCGGGAACGGGGGAGCAAGGCCGGGAATGGGGCCGGGAGCGGGGCCGGCCGAGCCGCGTCCAGCAGCAACACCCGGCGAGGGGGGGGACGGGCCCCAGCAAACGGCCAGCACACGGGAAGGAGCGAGGTTTGGGCTTTCCGCCCCCCCCAGCTCCTCGTCTTTCCCCGGGGGATTTTCGATCTCCGCGACCGGGCCCGTCCCGCCGTGGGTGACGGCTCGCGGGCAGTGCCCGTGTCCGGGCGGCCAGGGGGGCGCCCGACGGGGGCCGCCTGCAGCCCCCCCTCAGCAGCCGCGTGGGAGGAGGAGGAGGAGGGGAGGAAGCAAACGGGCGCGGGAGCCGCGTGGCGGAGGGAGTCGAGTCTGAAACCCCGCAGAGAGGGGTTCTGATGACCCCCCTCCCCTCCCCACCCCGCCGAAGTTTCTTTGCTTTGCAAATGTGTTTTCACAGCGCCGCGCTCTTGCTGACGTGGTCAGGTTTGCACGCTTGGATCTCGCTTGCCTGACATTCCTGCTCGGAAGCTAAAGACGATCAAACACTTCTGCTGGCTTTAGCAGCCATAAAACTTTACACGTTTGCCCGTCTGTGTTCTCCTTCCCATTTGTCCCGGGGCCGAACAAACGCGGGAGAGGACGGGGTGGGGGGTGCAGAGGAGCCGCCGCCGCCTTCTTTCACAAAGACATGTTTGCGCCGCCTTATCGGCGCGGGGGGGGCGGGGGTGTTTTGCACGGCGGCTCCCGGCCCGCCTTGGACAGCGGCCGGGCCCGTCCCGGGAGGGAGCCTCGTCCCGGGAGGGAGCCCCGCCGCGGGCACCAGACACTGCCTTCGCCCGCGGGGGGCACCGGGGGCGGCGGGGGGGGAGGCGCGGCAGGTCACAGGACCTCAGCGGGGGGTGAGAAGTGAAGGGGGCAAGCGTGGGAGGGAGACGGGGGAGGGGGGAAGGGCGCGGGAGGAGAGAGATGCATAGAGGGGTGGGGGGGGGGTCGTGTATCAGCCCGGGCGGTGGCGGCGTTAACGCTGCCTCGCATTTGCGCCTGCCAGGCAACTTCTGCTAGACTACAAACAGAAAGAAAAACAAAAAATAACTACCAAACTCGAGCTCCCCGAAAAGAAGGGAGAAGCGGCGGGGCGGGCCACCCGTGCCCAGCCCCGTCCCGCCGGCCGCATCGGGGCAGCGCGGCCCCGACCTTTGTTTCAAACCAATTACGTGGCATAAGTTAGTTCTCGGCGGGGCTGGGGGAAGAAGTGTCCCCGGCGCTGCCGCGCCCCTCCCGCGGCACCGCGCGGCCGCCGCGGCCGCCGAGCGCGGGCGGCTCCCGGACCGCTGGCGGGGGCGGCAGCAACGCGAGGGCGTCGGGTCTTTGGAGAGGGATGCGAAGAGGGGCGCTGCGCGGGAGCCGAGCCCGCAGGGCACGGTGAGCGCTGCCCCGGCTGTTTCCCCGCTGCTCCCGCCCCGTCCTACCCGGGCTGCCGCCACAGCGGGCACACCCGGCTCGGGGTACCGGGAGCTGACTGCGAGGCACTCACTTCACACCAACCTGCCCGGCCACCGCTGCCGTAGCCCTCTGCCAAACTCAGGGCGGCCCGGCCGGCGGGCTGGGGCGGGGCGGGCCCAGCGGGCGGCGCGGGGCGGGCGGAGCGGGGCACCGCCCCCGCGGGCCGCGGGCAGCCGCGTTTATATGGGGGCGGCGCGGGGCGCCGCGGAGTTCCCGCAGTTCGCCCGCTGCTGTGCAGCCGCCGTCGCCGCCTCGGCCCGGCACCCGCCGTCCCGCCGGGAAGGAGTCGGGACCGTTTCGGATCTCAAGCAGACGGTCCCCTCCTGTCTAGTCGTGGCTTTTCCAAACCCTCCAAAGACAGCGGGATCTTTCGGTCCTTCCTGTATTTCCGACCATTACAGGATCTAGAAATGTCGACGACACTTTTATCTGCCTTCTACGACATTGACTTCTTGTGCAAGGTAGGGAAGAGTGCGCTTACTCGGGCGGGATCTGGGCTGGCAATGCCGCGGGCTGCGGGGCGACTCTCTGGGCTGCTGGGGCTGGGGCACCGCGGCGGGGCGGGAGGCCGGGCCGTGCTGGGCCGTGCGGGCGGGTCGCGGTCTGACAGCCGGCCGGGGGCCTGGCGCAAGGCTGCGAGCCCCGGAATGCCGCCTCGTGGCCTCCCGGCGGCCGCGTTCGGGGCGGGCTGATCTGCAGCCGCGGGGGTGCCGGGCCGCCCCGCAGCGCCTACCCGCATGTTGCGCTGCCGGGAGAAACTTTTGAAAAAAGTTGCAGATGCAGCAGAGCCGGTGCAGGAGCTTCTCCCCAGCCCTGCCCTGCCCTGCACGCGCTGGCAGCGGACGCGCTTTGCGGGCCCGTTGGGTGGCGCGACCCCCGCCCCGACTGCCGCGGCGCGCCTGGCGGGGCGGCGTGGGGAGCCGCGGCGGTGGGCAGGCGGTCACCCGCAACACTCTCTCTCTCCCGCTGTCTCCCCCACCCCCTCTCCTCTCCCCGCCCCGGCAGACGGAGAAGTCCCTGACCAACTTAAGCAGCATGCTGGATAAGAAAGCCGTGGGGACCCCGGTGACCCCTCCCAGCTCCAGCTTCGCGCCGGGCTTCCTACGGCGGCACTCGACCAGCAACCTGACGGCGCTGGCCGGCGGCTCCAAGTTCCCCAGCCCCACCGGCTCGAGCTCTTCCTCCACCTCCTCCTCCTCTTCCTCCTCCTCCTCTTCGTTCGGCAGCCTGAAGGAGACGGGCTCCGGCGGAGGCGGCGGCAGCAGCAGCCCCACGGCCCTGCTCAACAAGGAGAACAAGTTCCGGGACCGCTCCTTCAGCGAGAACGGCGAGCGCAGCCAGCACCTCATGCAGCAGCTCCAGCAGCAGCAGCAGGCGGCCGGCAAAGGGGGCGGCTCCGGCGGCGGCGGGGCCCCCATCAACTCGACGCGCTACAAGACGGAGCTGTGCCGCCCCTTCGAGGAGAGCGGCGCCTGCAAGTACGGCGAGAAGTGCCAGTTCGCCCACGGCTTCCACGAGCTGCGCAGCCTCACCCGCCACCCCAAGTACAAGACCGAGCTCTGCCGCACCTTCCACACCATCGGCTTCTGCCCCTACGGCCCGCGCTGCCACTTCATCCACAACGCCGACGAGCGCCGCCCGGCGCCCGGCGGGGGCACGGCCGCTCCCCCGCCCGCCGCCGCGGCCGGGCCGCACCATCACCCGCACCATCCGCCCCCGCACCCCGCCGGCAGCACCGGCGACCTCCGCGCTTTCGCCCCCCGCGACCACCCGCTGGGCGGCGGCGGCGGCTTCGGGCACCCGCGCGGCGGCGGCGAGCGGCCCAAGTTGCACCACAGCCTGAGCTTCTCCGGCTTCTCCGCCCACCACCACCACCACCACCCCCCGCCCCCCCACGGCGCCCCCCCGCCGCCGCCGCCCGGCGGCCGCCTGGACGCCGCCCTGCTGGAGAGCCCCGGCGGGTCGCGCACGCCGCCGCCGCCCGCCTCCGCCTCCTACTGCGAGGAGCTGCTCTCGCCGCCATGCGCCAACAACGCCTTCGCCTTCTCGGGGCAGGAGCTGGGCAGCCTCATCGCTCCCCTCGCCCTACACACCCAGAACTTCGCCGCTGCCGCCGCCGCGGCCGCCGCCGCCGCCGCCTACTACCGCTGCCAGCAGCAGCCGCCGCCGCCCGGCGGGGGCTGCCCGCCGCCCCCCGCCTCGCCGCCCTTCAGCTTCCAGCCCCTCCGCCGCCTCTCCGAGTCGCCCGTCTTCGACGCGCCGCCCAGCCCGCCGGACTCACTCTCCGACCGGGAGAGCTACCTGAGCGGCTCTCTCAGCTCCGGCTCCCTCAGCGGCTCCGAGTCGCCCAGCCTGGACTCGGGCCGCCGCCTGCCCATCTTCAGTCGCCTCTCCATCTCCGACGATTGAGGGGGACGGGGGACCGGCCGGGGGGGCCCCGCGGCGGCCCTGCAAGTAAGTGACCGAAGAAAGCGAAACCTCTCCTTCTTCTCTATTTTTTGGTGTTTTTTTTTTTATATATATCTACACCGAGAGCTGAACAAAACGAGAAACAAAGCATTTTGCAAAAGGGCAAATGACACGAACTGAACAAACCTATTTTTATAGAGAGACCTTAAGAGAAGGGGATTTTTGTTTCGGGGTTTTTTTTGTTGTTGTTCTTTGGAGACAAGTTATGATACGCACCAGCAGCAGCCATTCCATCTGTGTTCAAAAAAAAAACCAACAAACTAGCATTAGAAAAGACACCACCAGAAAGCAACAAACAATCTGGGGAGCGCCGGTTCTGTCTGCCCAGCTCCTCCAAACCTGCAGACACACAGAAAAAGAAGTTACAAACTAGTTTGTGTTTCAATCCAGTTCAAATAAAAACACAGAACATGCTAAACCTATAAGCTTTTTTTTTTTTTAGGAAAAAAAAGAATCCGACATCCTGCCAAGAATATGCCTTGATAACAACCTTTTTTATATATCTATATATTATTATTATAACAAATGCTAAAACCTTCATTCCAAAGTTTAATATTGGTTCCATTGCCACCACTTAGTGGATGTTTGGCTTAGAACAATTTTTTGTTGTTGCTTTATTTGGAAGCACTCAACCGAGTTTAGTTTGTAATTGTTGGAGAATAACTGCTGATTTTTTTAAAATTTTTTTTAGCTGTTTGAGTTGATTGCATGAATGAGTTCACTGCACACAACTCAGTATGAAATTATTTAACTTATTTATTATCTTGTGAAAAGTATACATTGGTAATTTGTTCATACTGTATTTATCGGGTATGATGAAAAGCAATAGATATATATTCTTTTATTATGTTTAAATTATGATTTTCATTATTAATCGGCGAAATGTGGAGTGTGTTCTTTTCACAGTAATATATGCCTTTTTGTAACTTCACTTGGTTATTTTATTGTAAATGAGTAAAATTCTTAATTTAAGAGATTGTATGTAATATTTATTTCATTAATTTCTTTCCTTGTTTACGTAAATCTGAAAGATTGCATGGTTTCTTTATAGAAATCGGTCTCGATGCTGTGGAAGTAGTTTGAGGAATTTCTATGGGTTTTTTAGAATGTAAATGGTTGTAGCCCGTCCGAGTTGAAAAACTAGAGAAGAAAAAAAAAAAGAGCAGAAAAAAAGACTGCCTTAGCAATCAGACTTCAAAGTGGCAAATCTAATTCAGACTTGTTTAAAATAACCAAAAAGTATTTTTGTTGCCTAACTCCACCAATCACACTGTGATATAGTCTCAAAGTATGTAGCAATAATTGGGGGTCCCAGTATTATGTCTCACAGTGCCTTTTTGAGGGTCCATGCTTGCCTTAAATATTTCTCAACCAAATAAGTATTTTTCTTAACGCTTGAGATAATTTGAATGTAGGGATGGGTTTTAACTACAGCAAAATTTCGCCACTCTATTTTATAAGAACGGAGGCCATCTTTGGATCTGAAACTTTATACAGTACATGAACATATCTTGTTTAATTGAATTCCAAAACTTGTAATTTTTTTTTCCTAATGTAGAAAGTTGGGAGTTTTCCAAAACTTTCCTGGACGGTGGATGAATGAGCAGTAGCTTAGTTTTGTTTGTACATAGGTACAGATTGAGCACTATGTACTCTTTTGGACTACTTTAACAGAAGTATGTTTTGAATGTAACTAAAGGATAAGTCAACTTGAGTTGTAATATATTTTTCGGGAGTCAGTTCACTACAAATTGTGTGAGACTGTAAACTTTGTACTGTAAATGTTTTGTAGTTCTCCCAATAAAATTTTTTGGAAAAAAAAAAAAAAGCCAAGTAACCCTTCCAACTGCTAAAGCCCTGGCTGCCAGGCAAGGAGTATTTCTTGCTAACCACCACCACCCCCGCCAATCACAGATATGTCTAGCTACAGATTAACCAGTTTGCACTGCTGCTCCAGTACACTCCTGCAGCCGTCACTGGTCGGCGGCCAAAGTTAATAAGCGCTTCCAGAAGGTTCGGGAATGTCAGTGGTGTACTGTATCCTGCCTTTTTTTTTTTTTTTTTTTTTTTTTTTTTTTATTTTTAAGAGGATGAAGAATCAAAGGTCTACTGCTTGTAGCGTAACAGCTGGAATGGAAAAATCTAGTAATGGCATTTATCAATCACATTGCTTAAGGGGCAAAATGAGAGTGCCATTAGCCTTCCTGGCTTGTTTGGGGCAAGGAGGAAATGGCAGTTTGGGTAATAAAAAGGCATAATTAAAGTTTACCCTTTGTCCCAAAAGCTTTGTTCCTCTTCACTCACAGGAATGCGGACTTCTGCCTCAATGCTCCCATCACCCAGCTGAGGGCATATCTGTTAATAGGGCTAGCATTAAATGTGCTAATCAGTTTTCAGGGCTTGGGTTTTAAACAAATTACCTTTTTGAGGGTATATTTATATAACAAAATACTTGGCAGCCTGGAGACTGTGAGTGTATTAATACTGAAGGAATTTTAGCTAATATCTCCACAGTTTTGGCACCTTGTTCCAGTCAGTTCCTTAAACTTCTAAGTCACAATTTCTACCAGCTTATTTTTGTTCTTTTGTCATACTAATAATAAATGTTGTTAACATTA